AGAACTCTTTAGGTTTTGGCTTTCTATCGTTTCCTCAGGATGGAACCTGACCAGTAGGAGGAAGAATAAGATTATCACAGTTTGTAACAATGGAGGGGGGTAAAAGATGTCCCCTGAGAATTTGTAATTACATGACTTTCTTCATTTGGATTTGTAACTTCAAACTGTACAAACTGAGTAGCTCAGAAAACCCTCTTAGACTCACTCAGTGCCCTCCAGTTCTTCATCTTTGGGAAGAGTCTCCCTCCCTACTTCTTTGCCTCTTTCAAATGCTATGTGATAAGTTAGAAGAAATTTACTGGGACAGTGCTACAAATTAAAATCTCAAAATACACCTGGCCTCTATGTATTTATGTATTTGTGTTTGTCTTTTTTATTTTCCCTTTGTCCTTTATTATTGCATGCTTATTAAGTGCCAAACACTATGCTAGTGCCTGTAAATACATCACCATTTATTTCTCAAAACAATCCAATGACAACTTAAACTTCTGGCTATATAATGGACTACATGCCCTGACTGAAAATACACTGCAAAGCCAAGTTATGGACTTCAAAATCTCCTTGAAAGAGTCAGTGAATTGGCGTGAAAGTACGGAATGCTAAAATTACAGACTGAATAGGACCCAGGAGGTAAGGGAAGTACTGAAGCCAACTTTTGCCAAACCCAAAGAACTTAAGCTTCGGGTATTACAGCTTCAGTTGGATCAGCCCAAGGTCTGGGGTGGGGAGGAATCACGTAAATCTGTAACTTTCAGTGAGAATGTAAACTAAAAATAAACCTGCCCCTCCTCTAAGGAAATGCAAGCAAAATTTCCTGTCTCTAAATTTGGTGCAGAGGAGGGTAGGGGGAGTATCCCTTGAGAAATAAATTGTAACCACAACAACCAACAATACCTTACTTACATGGTTGGTAGCCACAAATTATGCAGTCTAGGTAATTCAAAAGACCGCAATCTTATATTTTAATTTAAAATAATCCTGAAATTATACAGTATATATATGTATCAAAACATTAAATTGTACCCCATAAGTATATATAGTAACAAAATGTTAACAAAAATTTTTAATTAAAAATATAATAATAAAATAATCCTCAAATGGTAATGTCTCCATATGCTTGGAAAAAACATGCAAATTCTCTATGAAAGATCATACCTTAATCTGTAATTCCAGAATTTGGGGAGGCCGAGGCCATAGGATTGCCTGAGCCCCGGAGGTCGAGGCTGCAGTGAGCTACGCCAGTGCCACTGCAGCCTTGACCTCGACAGATAACATTCCAAGAAAAATAAATTTATAGTCATGATTCTCAAATCATAAGTGAAAACAGACACCATGAGTGAAAACCAGCAAGGAAGAAAACAAAACCAAAAAACTAGACAGCAGTATCAGATCCTCAAGGACTTTAGGTATTGAAATTATTAAATGCAGAATATAAGGTAAGTAGGTTTAAACGTGTTTCATGGCTTTATTTTTAATTTTTTAAATTTTTACTGCTTGTGGTACCTAGTAGGTGTATATGTTTATGGGGCACATGAGTTGTTTTGATTACAGTCATGCAGTGTGAAATCAGCACATCGTGGAGAATGGGGTAGCCAACCCCTCAAGCATTTATCCTTTGAGTTACAAAAAAATCCAATTACACTCTTTATGTTATTTTAATATATACAATTAAGTTATTATTGACTATAGTTACCCTGTTGTGCTATCAAAGAGTAGGTCTTTTCATTCTTTTTTTCATTCATTTGTTTTTTTAAATTAATTTAATTCATTTAATTAATTCATCCCTTAACCATCTCTACCTCCGCCGTCCTCCCACTACCCTTCCCAGCCTCTGGTAACCATCCTTCTAGTCTCTAGGTCCATGAGCTCAATTGTTTTTTATTTTTAGATCCCACAAATAAATGAGAACATGCAATGTTTGTCTTTCTGTGTCAGGCTTATTTCACTTAACATAATGAACTCCATGGCCAGCCATGTTGTTGCAAATGACTGGCTCTCATTCTTTCTTTACGGCTGAATGGTGCTCCACTATGTATACCTACCACGTTTTCTTTTCTCTTCTTTTTTTTTTTTTTCCCCCCCGAGACGGAGTCTTGCTCTGTCACCCAGGTTGGAGTGCAGTGGCTCAATCTTGGCTCACTGCAAGCTCCGCCTCCCAGGTTCAAGCAATTCTCCTGCCTCAGCCTCCTGAGTAGCTGGGATTACAGATGCCTGCCACCACGCCTGGCTAATTTTTGTATTTTTAGTTGAGATGGGGTTTCACCATGCTGGCCAGGCTGGTCTCAAACTCCTGACATCATGATCTGACCGCTTCTGCCTCCCAGAGTGCTGGGATTACAGGCGTGAGCCACTGCGCCCGGCCTGTACCACGCTTTCTTTAGTCATTCATCCATTAATAGACACTTCCAAATCTCAGCTATTGCAATTAGTACTGCAACAAACGTTGGAGTGTGGATATCTCTTTGATACACTGATTTCCTTTCTTTTGGGTGCCTACTCAGCAGTGGGGTTGCTGGATCATGTCACGGCTTTATGATTGTCTGCTAACACCCATTCTCCATCTTTAACAACAGAACTCTCAAATGTCAGCTGAGCATACGTCTACCCAGCTAGAGACAGTCTTTCTCAGTTTCTCTTGCAGCTGAATGTAGCTGTGTGACTGTGTTCAGGATGAGGGTGTGCGAGCAGACAACAATAATCTTTCATGAAGTTAAAAAACCAGATGGAATTAAAATACTTGATGATATTAGGGTATGACTTGGGAGATGGGTAATACGAATTAAAATGTTCTGATATCGAGTAAAGATATTAATTACATTAGGCTCTGATAAGTATGCATGCTACAATTTTCAGAGTAGTCTCTAAAAGGTGAAATTTGGACTTGAATCCAGGATCTCTGTTTCTAAATAATTCTGGAGGAAGAAAATTCTTAGAGTGCTATTGGCTTTTCAGCTGCAGAATACTGGCACTTCAGAAGGATCGCTGGGAGTCCAGGACCCAACCTGTCACTGAGCATTCCCGCATACCTGAGCCTGTGAAACTTCCCATCACAGCCACTAGGCAGACTCACTTCTGAGTCTTTCCCAGCACACCGCTGACCCTTCCTGATTCTCCAGCTCACACTCATTCAGAGCTCCTTCATGTCTTCAGCCACCTCCTGTTTGCCAGCTTCCCTCTAACAGAACTTGCGTGTCAGGAAAGCTCGTTCGCCTACAAATAAACTATCTGAGAGACTCTGTCTTCCAGGAAGTTTCTCGTCATTGATGGGGGAAATGCAGACAACTCACTTTGGTCATTGCTATAGTTTGGATACGGTTGTTAGACTCTGCCAAGTTTCATGTTGAAATTTGATCCCCAATGTTGAAGGTGGAGCCTGGTGGGAGGAGTTTAGGTGGTTGAAACAGATCCCACATGAAGAGCTCGGTGCCATTCTCAAAGCAGTGAGTTCCCATTCTTAGTTCCCACAAGAACTGGTTGTTGAAAAGATCCTGTCACCTCCTCCATTCCTTCTCTCCAGCTTCCTCTCTCTCGCTATATGATCTGTGCAAACCAGCTCCCCTTCTCCTTGGCCATGAGTGGAAGTTTTTTGAAACCCTCACCAGCGCAGATGTTGGTGCCATGCTTCTCGTATAACCTGCAGAACCGTGAGCCAAATAAACCTCTTTTCTCTATGTTACCCAAAGTCAGGGATTCCTTTATAGCAACACCAATGGACTAAGACAGAAAATACAGACTGTATATTGGGACCCCATCAGCCTGGTCACAGATGCCATCTCAGACCTCCCCAAACCCTCTGCTCATTTGGGTCTCTTCAGTCACGTTCATTTAGCTCTTTCCTCTCTGCTGGCCATATCCAAGTGTCCAGACAAAATTCAAGGCTCCTCCAGGACTTGGACCATTGATCTCCCTCCTCCCATCAGATTTGTGTCCTGATATGTCACTGTGTCTCTCCCTGCGGGGTGTACTCTCCTGAAAGATGCTTCCTTGGAACTGAAGCAGAGGCACATCAGAAGGATCTCAGGGTGGAAAGGCTCCCATAGAGCCCTCTGAAAACAAAAACAAAACAGAGGGGAGCTCCTATGGTTGACGGTCAGCAGGAGACCCTACCCTCCTTCTCCTGCTATGAGTCTGACAGGGGACATATTCAGTACTCTCCCACACCCTCAGTTCCCATGCCCCAGAGACCCCAAACATGTTTTCATTATCTCTCTTCATTATGTCTTCTAGATCTCTCTTCCCCTGTTACTTCAATGTGCATTGCTGAGTGCCTACTGCATACTCAGCAACATTCCATTTGTCTTCTGCCCATGACCCAGGAGCCCAGATTCCTAGTTACTGGTCTCTTTTGGGTCCCCTATTACTGTCTGCTATAGAGATGTGAGGTCCTACCCTCTTGGCTCAGCTCATTAGGGCTTCTTTCATGCTAAAGCAGGCCTACAGGACTTCCTGACCAGAAAACAAATTCTTGAGCTGGAACAGGTTTCTAACCCGATCCCTGCTTCAAAGGGTGGGTCCCTTCCACTCTGACAACCATGATCTCCTTATCCCATTCTACTTCCTGCTGCAACCCAGCCCAGCACCCTGCCTAGTGTGACCATGTCATTCTCCTTTCTCACCTTCCTCTTGACCCCCGCTCTATTCCTTCCCAGGCTTGGTATCATTCTGTCACCTGCCTGTAGTTGACAGACTGTCAGGTCAACTGCCCCACCCCTCCCCAGACCATATGAAGCTATAAAGGCCCCTGTAGCTCTTTCACAACAGAGAAAGAGGCAACTACATTGCCTGGAGGAAGCCTAAGGAAGTCAGGCATCCAGCTGCCCACCCCTGAGCCCAAGATTCTTCCCAGGAACACAAACGTAGGAGACATATGCTCCTGGAAGCACCAGCCTTTATCTCTTCACCTTCAAGTCCCCTTTCTCAAGAATCCTCTGTTCTTCGCCCTCTAAAGTCTTGGTACATCTAGGACCCAGGCATCTTGCTTTCCAGCCACAAAGAGACAGATGAAGATGCAGAAAGGAAATGTTCTCCTTACATTTTGTCTACTATTGCATTTAGAAGCCGGTGAGTGATTTTATTTAAAAGCGGGTGGTCTGAGAACCTTTGAGGAGTTGGGGGAGACATGACCACTGCTGGGGCTAGCTCTGCTTCTCTTCCATAGCGTGAGGATCATCATTTTACTCTCATCACTTCAGCCTAACAATGTATGTCATGCAGGAGGCAGTCAGACACAGTGGTTAAAATTGGTCTCTGGTCTCACGTTGCCTACGTCTGAATTATGGCTCCATCTATTAACTGTGTACTTTAGGTCAGTTGCTTCTCTGTGCCTCAATTTCTGCATCTGTAAAATGGTAAGAACCTATGTGATATGGTTGGGGGTTTAAATATTAAGAACAAGAAGAGTTGGCTGCTTTTAAAATATCACTTTTCTGGTAGGGTGCGGTGGCTCATGCCTTTAATCCCAGCACTTTGGGAGGGTGAGGCAGGCAGGTCATTGAGGTCAGAAGTTCAAGAACAGCCTGGCCAACATGATGAAACCCTGTCTCTACTAAAAATACAAAAATTAGCTGAGTATGTTTGCTTGCCCCTGTAGTCCCAGCTACTCAGGAGGCTGAGGCAGGAAAATCTCTTGAACCCAGGAGGCAGAGGTTGCAGTGAGCTGAGATGGTGCCACTGTACTCCAGCCTGGGTGACAGAGTGAGACTCTGTCTCAAAAAAATAAAATAATAAAACAAGGCCAGGCCTGGTGGCTCACGCCCGTAATCCCAGCACTTTGGGAGGCCAAGGCGGGTGGACGTCTTGAGGCCAGGAATTTGAGACCAGACTGGCCGACGTGGTGAAACCCCATCTCTACTAAAAGTATGAAAATTAGCCTGGTGGGGTGGCTTATGCCTACAATCCCAGCTACTCAGGAGGCTGAGCCAGGAGAATCGCTTGAACGTGGGAGGCGGATGTTGCAGTGAGCCGAGATCGCTCCACTGCACTCTAGCCTGGGGGGCAGAGGGAGACTCCGTCTCAAAAACAAATAAATAAATAAACAATAACATAAAATAAAATGTCACTCTTCTATATTCTACAAACTCAATTTCTCTCCTACCCCTACACCTAATTCCACGTCAGCCTCCCACGTACAGGCTGAGGAGGTCGAATGTCTTCATCCTTCAGGGAAATAAAGGGCAAAAATTTGACATAACCTTAACTCCAGCCAAGCCTCCAAGAAGTTAAAAGCCTTCCCTCTATCTTTATACATTGGTTTACAGCCCTTAATCCTGGGAGCTCTTATGTATTTGAGCTACATATAACTTGTTCTTCTCTAGCCTTGGCCATAGTGATCAAGGGCCCCGGAACTTGAATGCATATAGTCACCTGGCTTCTTGATGAAGATGCAGGCTCCGGGACCCCATCTCAAACTCTAATTCATTTAGTCTAAAATGATTTGCTTAAGAATATTTTCAACATACTCCCTTAAGTAATTCTGATATAAGTGTTTTCTGAATATTATTCTGAGAAATATTTTCCAAGAAGGAAGCAATACTACTTAAGAAAAAAATTGGTCAATATATACTAGTTTCACCTAGTCCTATAATTCTTTTAAAATCCTTTTAATTTGTATTGTATCTTGGATAGCAGAATGTGGAATAAGCTTACCTACTACTAAAACTAGATGATGTAACTCTGGTGTTGGGGGTAGGTGGGTGACTTAGCTTAGTCTCCACAAGTGCGGATTCAGTAGCCTGGGTTCAGTTTCCTGTTCCACCACTCACTAGCTGTGTAAACTTGGGCCAGTGTCAACATTTTTTTTTTTTTTTTTTGAGACGGAGTTTTGTTCTTGTCGCCCAGGCTGGAGTGCAATGGCTCGATCTCGGCTCACTACAATCTCTGCCTCCCGGGTTCAGGTGATTCTCCTGCCTCAGCCTCCCAAGTAGCTGGGATTAATGCCTGGCTAATTTTGTATTTTTAGTAGAGATGGGGTTTCTCCATGTTGGTCAGGCTGGTCTCAAACTCCTGACCTCAGGTGATCCACCCACCTCGGCCTCCCAAAGCGTTTGGGTTACAGGCGTAAGCCACTGCACCCGGTCCAGTGTCAACATTTTTAAGCCTCAATTTCTTCATCTCAGCTGGTGATAATAGTAGTATCTATGTTATAGGGCTGTAGTGAGCATTAAATAAAATTATTTATGTAATGAATTTAGCCAAGCAGTAAGCAGAAAGCCTATATACACAATATATATTTGTCATGATATGATTTCTTCAGCAATAAATCCCAGTGGGACTAGCACCTCTGCCAACACTGGACCCACTGTGACCTCCAGTGGGATCAGCACAGTCATGAACTCTGGGCCCAGTGTGACCTCCAGTGGGGCCAGCACAGCCACCAACTCTGCGTCCAGCACAACCTCCGGCGGGGCCAGCACAGCCACCAACTCTGAGTCCAGCACAGCCACCAGCTCTGAGTTCAGCACAACCTCCAGTGGGGCCAGCACAGCCACCAGCTCTGAGTTCAGCACAACCTCCAGTGGAGCCAGCACAGCCACCAGCTCTGACTCCAGCACACCCTCCAGTGGGGCCAGCACAGCCACCAGCTCTGACTCCAGCACACCCTCCACTGGGGCCAGCACAGCCACCAGCTCTGACTCCAGCACACCCTCCAGTGGGGCCAGCACAGCCACCAGCTCTGACTCCAGCACAACCTCCAGTGGGGCCAGCACAGTCACCAGCTCTGACTCCAGCACAACCTCCGGTGGGACCAGCACAGCCACCAGCTCTGAGTCCAGCAACCTCCGTGGGCCAGCACAGCCACCAGCTCTGAGTCCAGCACACCTCCGTGGGCCAGCACAGCCACCAGCTCTGATCCAGCACACCTCCGGTGGGCCAGCACAGCCACCAGCTCTGAGTCCAGTACAAACTCCGGTGGGACCAGCACAGCCACCAGCTCTGAGTCCAGCACACCCTCCGGTGGGGCCAGCACAGCCACCAGCTCTGAGTCCAGCACACCCTCCAGTGGGGCCGGCACAGCCACCAGCTCTGAGTCCAGCACAACCTCCACTGGGGCCAGCACAGCCACCAGCTCTGACTCCAGCACACCCTCCAGTGGGGCCAGCACAGCCACCAGCTCTGGGTCCAGTGTGACCTCCGCAGGCTCTGGAACACCCACTCTGACTGGGACGCACACAACTTCCCACAGAGTTATCACAAGTGCCTCTACTGCAGTGAGTGGGGCGAAGCCTGGGGGGTCCCTGCTGCCATGGGAAATCTTCCTCATCACGCTGGTCTCGGTTGTGGCGGCCGTGGGGCTGTTTGCTGGGCTCTTCTTCTGTGTGGTGAGTGCCTAATATGTAAGAAAATGCCTGGGGGAGGGAGCAGCAGAAACACAAGGAAACGGGTGTGAATAGAAGGGGTCTCAAGTCAGAGGTGGGTAGGGAGGAAGGGAGATCAGGAGAGAGTAACACAGAAAGATGGCAGGTCAAAGCAGAGGAAGCTGGTGACCTGCAGGAAAAGGGGGCCACAGAAAGGACTGGAGGAAGGAGAACTAGGAAGGAGTGTGGCTGGAAGTGGGAGAAGATTCCAGAAGGCATCTGTGGTGAAGGCTTGGGAGACAGGGATACAATTATGAAACTATTGACTCTTCTTTTTCTAGAGAAACAGCCTGTCCCTGAGAAACATCTTTAACACAGCTGTCTACCGCCCCCATGGCCTTGGCCCAGGCCCTGGAGGGAATCGTGGAGCCCCCCACAGGCCCAGGTGGAGCCCTAACTGGTTCTGGAGGAGACCAGTATCCTCGATAGCCATGGAGATGAGCGGGAGGAACAACGGACCCTGAGCAGCTCCAGAAGCGAGTGCCGCATTCTTCAGGAAGGAAGAGACCTGGGGACCCAAGACCTGGTTTCCTTTCATTCATCCCAGGAGACCCCTCCCAGCTTTGTTTGAGATCCTGAAAATCTTGAGGAAGACATTCCTCGCCTCTCTTGCCTTTACCAGACACTGGAAAGAGAATACTATATTGCTCGTTTAGCTAAGAAATAAACACATCTCATTTAACACACATGACAAAGAGAAGCTGTGCCGTGCCTCGGGGTGGGTGTCTGTAGCTCTGAGATGAACTTCTCAGTTACAGGAGAAAACCCCCATGCTGGACTCCATCTGGCATTCAGAATCTCCACAGTAAAATCCAGAGACCTCATTCTTATCTGTGTGTCTGCATTTTCTAATCCTTTTTGCCCCAGGCAAGTTCCCTGCATCTCTGAGACACTGCGGTTGGCCGGAAAATTGACTTGGGAGAGATAAGGAGGGAGGGCGGGTGCCAAGATGCTGCGGGCTCGTGTGTGACGCCTGTGGTACACAGCGATCAGGTTGTGATACGTGAAGAGCCGAGAGCAGGATGAGGTGGAGGTGGTACAACTACCTGCTCTGTGTGTGTGTGAAGGGGGAGCGGGGGGGGCGGCATATTCACTTGAAGTTGAGGTTCCCAGGGCATTTCCATGTGCTCCAGGCCTGACTACCCATCAGGGTGGAGGAGCTGGTGACACTCATCTCTCTAAGAGTGCTCCCTTGGGGAGCAGAGAGACAGTGTTCCCTGGATTCCCAAAGGAAAGACTTTCTGGTCTGCTAAGGTCAAATCTTCCAAGAGGCTCTTGGCAAAGACCTGAGATTCTCATAAATCCCCTCCCAGAAGAGCTGCACGTATCCTTTTCATGAGTCCGGGGAAGAGGGTCCTCCAGGTCTTGGAAGACAGAGGGGAGTTGCTTTGGAGGCTAAGTTGCTCTGAGCCCACAAGGTAATGGAGGGCTCCTACCTGGGACAGAGCCCTCAGCAGAGAATTAGCAGTCTGTTGGTGGGTTCACCCCAACTCACAGCAGTAGAAACTGCTCCATCTTCCACCACTTATTGGGTTTCTCCAGTGTCAGCAAACCAAAGAGTTGGATGTTACCAATACGGCTATAGGAAAACAGCCTGTTGCATGGTAAGAGTGATACCATCTTGAAGTGAAATCACCATGATGGCCATTTTTTTTTTTTAGATGGAGTCTTGCAGTGGTGCAATCATAGCTCATTGCAGCCTTCCACTCCTCGACTCAGGCAATCCTCCTGCCTCAGCCTCCTGAGTAGCTGGGACTACAGTTGTATGCCACCACAACTGGCTAACTTTTAAAATTTTTTTGTAGAGAGAGGGCCTCACTTTATTGCACAAGCTGGTCTTGAACTCCTGGCCTCAAGTGATCCTCCTGCCTTGGCCTCCCAAAGTGCTGAGATGACAGGTGTGAGCCACTACACCTGGCCAGATGACGAGTGTTTGACTCCTGCCATACCAAGGTGTTCTGCATCAAGGCTTTAAAACAATGCCTGTAGCATAACTAACGTCTCACAAAGATGCTTATCTAACTTCCCCAGCAGTCATGGGTTTCGGCAAGAAAGTCTGCGATGTGACCAGTTGCACATGTTTTCTCCTAAAAGCTTACTCTAGAAAGGATATTTTTTGGAGAGGGAGTGCAGGAATCCACCATCTGGTGGCCACCTCAGACATCACTTCTGTTTGGAAGTCTCCACTAATATTTCTCTGTGAGAAACTGGATTTGTCAGTCTCTTTCTTTGATCTCTTTTCCCCTCAACTTTTAGGGGTAGATTTGTGTAGACCTGCTCATGGTAGAATATTTGGTGATCCCCCAGCCAGGAGCTGGGAGAACAAGGAATGGGTAAGGAGAATGAAACGTCTGTAAGGAAATCCCAGGGTGGCAGCCACGTCTGTGTAGGGTTGGACAGCACAGCTGTTCGATACCTGTGCACCTCTGTGTGAGTGCAGGGATGCCTTGAAAATGCCTGGTGGCCTGGAGCAGTTTTAACCGAAAGCTGCATAGTGCACCGGGGTACGGAAGGGCGGCCGATAGCCGCTGCAGTGGGTTGGCTGCTGCTTTTGGCAACGAAGGTCCAGCTAGCAGCAGAAGCCAAAATTAAATGTCTAGAGAAGGAATTGCAACTAGAAAAGGACGTGTAGCTCTCCACGTCTCTCCTCGCAGCCAACTTAGCAAACAAAATTGAAGACCAAGAGACAAAAATTGAAACATTAGCATGTAGATTTGTTCATCTAGGGAGAAGGACATGGAAATGACCAAAAATCAGAGCTCTCATAAGAAAGCCCAACTGGGATATGAAAACTTGGAATCTCTGGGATTGTTATGAAGAGGAAGACTGATGACACAGAAGTCACAGGTGTGGAGGGGCATGGGGATCATTGGCCAGCTCGCTGTCTCATGCAAAGGAAAGCAAAATCTAACACCTGTAGCAAAATGGGGTCAGCTGATACAGGAGACTCTCACTGTCAGGGAATCTACTGCTGCAGAACTCCTAGAGATTGCAAAGACCTTTAAACAACTACCTAGGGAATCTCCTGGCTGCTTGGATGGCCTGACTGTGGGACACAGGGGTTGATGATATTTCCTTAACAGGAGAAGCAGGAAAAATGAGTAACATCACCACCCATGCAGACCTGCAGCAGCATCTTTGTTAAGGCAAGGCAGACACAAGGGAGTCATAGCTTATGGACTGGCTCATTCTAGCTATGAGGGAGGCTTGACCTAATGAGGGAAATTTATGGGGAAGGATGACCTCCTGGCAGTCAAGAGAAAAGGCCCAGGGGCTTCTCTAAGAATTAGGAATGAGTCAAGTCATCTATGTTTGGGTTCTTACAGGACTTAAAAGTTTTTTCCTGCAGGGGTGAAAAATATATTGCTGCAGAGTGCACCAGGATAATGGCACAGCCCTTGGCTGATGTTATTAAGTCATAGAAATGGGACGAGATGTATATGATGTGGGAAGGCCGGGCACAGTGGCACAGAGAGGCTGAGGCAGGCGGATCACTTGAGGTCAGGAGTTTGAGGCCAGCCTGGACAACATGGTGAAGCTCCACAGTTACTAAAAATACAAAAATTAGCTGGGTGGTGCGCCTGTAATCCCAGCTGCTTGGGAGGCTGAGGCAGGAGAATTGCTTGAACTCAGGAGGCGGAAGTTGCAGTCAGCTGAGATTGTGCCACTGCACTCCAGCCTGGGCAACAGAGTGAGACTCCGTCTCAAAAATAAATTAAAATAGAATAAAATAATTAAAAAGGCCGGGCGTGGTGGCTCATGTGTAATCCTAGCACTTTGGGAGGCCGAGGCGGGCAGATCACCTGAGGTCAGGAATTCAAGACCAGCCTGGTCTTGAATGGTGAAACCTCGTCTCTACTAAAAATACAAAAATTTGCTGGGCGTGGTGGCAGGCGCCTGTAATCCCAACTACTCGGGAGGCTGAGGCAGGCGAACCAGTTGAACCCAGGAGGCGGATGTTGCAGGTTGCAGTGAGCCGAGATCGCACCGTTGCACTCCAGCCTGGGCAAGAAGAGTGAAACTTCGTCTCAAAAAAAAAAAAAAAGATGTATATGACGTAGGAGAAGCCATCACAGATCTGGGAGCAACTGAGAAAGCCAGGGGCAGGGTGTGCTTTGTAACCCGGCAAGGGCTGATAAAGGGGAAAGAAAAAGCTTCACAGGAAGAAAGGGGGAAATAAGGGAAGGTGACCAATTAGAGTCAAGGACAGGCAAATGTGGCATGACTTATTGGGAGCAGAAACATTCTGAGAAAAAATATGTAAAAAATGCTAAAATATGAAAAATGTTATGTTAGCAGTCTTCGGGAGGGAAGTACAGACTGAAGAGCTGTTTTGTGCCTTCATTTCTGCCCCTCTAGCAGAAGAGGAAGATGACTCAACCCCTCATTCTAATACTCCAGCCTATCAGGGGTGGATTCCACGCTGGCCCCAAGATTAGGAGTGGGGCCAAGGTCAACCCCATGTTGCAGGTGACCAGAGGCCCTATGTTGAGCTCACCATTTATTGTTCCTCTCAAAAAAATAAGGAGAAGACTATTTCCTTAGCAGGTACTAGGGCAGAATGTACTTTAAGTCATGGAAATCCATAAACACACCCTGGTCAATGGCCGGGCATCAATGGTTATGGGGACAAACGATCTGGATGAGAAGGACTTCAATACATCTAGGTATTGGGAAAGCTCCCCCTGCCCCGTATATGCTGTTTATTTTTCTTATTCCAGAAAACATTTTAGGCATGGGTATTCTGTGAGGAAAGACTTTGCAAACTTCAGTGGAAAAATTCAGATCAAAGGTGCGTGTAGTGAAGGCTGTTCTTGAGAGAGGAGCAAGATTGGAGCCTGTGACAACTTCCTGCCCCTACATGGATTGTCAACATTAAACAATTCATATTGTCCAGGGGGCATGCTGAAGTAAGTGCAATTACTATCCTCCCAATAAATGCAGCTATTATCCGCCCAGCAGGAAGCCCATGAAAGAGTCTTGTCTTTGTTCTCATTTCTGTCTCTTCTTCTAGTGTTGTTATTTTGTTGGCATTATGTCAGCCGCTGAAGCTTTTACTGTGCTGCAGTCATGGCTTTTCTTTTTTTAACTTTTATTTTAAGTTCGGGGTTCATATGCAGGTTTGTTACATAGGTAAATATGTGTCATGGGTTTTTGTTTTGTTTTTTTTTTTTGTACAGGTTATTTCATCACCCAGCTATTAAGCCTAGTACCCATTCGTTATTTTTCCTGATCCTCTCCCTCCTCCTACCCTCCGCACTCTGATAGGCCCCAGACTGTGTTGCTCCCCTCTATGTGTCCATGTGTTCTCATCATTTAGCTCCCACTCATAAGTGAGAACATGTGGTATTTGGTTTTCTGTTCCTGCATTAGTTTGCTAAGAATAATGACTTCCAGCTCCATCCATGTCCCTGCAAAGGACATGATCTTGTTCTTCTTTTATGACTGCATAGTAGTCCATGAT